CACACAGATCACGAATGGGAAAGAAACCACAAGCTGTTTCCTGAAGTGTGTTGAAATGAGTAGGTGAACCCAGTGGTGGACACTGGGGGGGGGGGGGCGAAAACCTTTAAATGATACGTGAATAACAGTGTAAGAAAGCTATAACTTACAACAATTTTCCAACCATGGATAAATTTATCACTACATACAGTATTGCATGAAATTTAGGGCAAGAAAGTTGAAAGAACTAAGATTACCGGCTACTAAATGTGGTCATATGTTGTAACTTAATTCCCCCCCTTTTTTTCCCAAAGTGTCTGCCACTGGGTCGAGCCACAATGTCCTACTTTGTTATTTTACTCTGTCTACTGTTATGCCAATTTACACATCACAGAGAAGTGTAGGAGAAACATTAATGTGTTCAGCAGATTATATGCATATTCTCTTGTAAACCCATTTAGCTGGCATGTGCTCTACTTTGTTATTTTACTTTGTCTAATACAAGGCAATTTTACTAAATGGGCTCATGTCTCTGGTGAACCCATTTAGCCATAATAGTTAACATTATAAGGAGAACTGTTGGGAACTGTGATTGTTTTAATAAACTAGATTGATTATCTAGACCCAATGGGTCCCAATGCCTAAAATAAGGGGACAACTAATTGGATAAAGTTTGCCAAAGAATGAAGCAGACTCTTTGTTCTTAAATAGTTAAAACAATAACACTTTTAAATGGAGGGGAACAAGATGTAAATATTACATAATGTACTATACTGTAAATAATTGTAATTAGAAAATATTACTTGACAAAACAAAACAAGCAGATTACTGTAGGTTGAAAATAATGTTAATAATATAGTTAGCCAAATAGCAATATTTATACAACAATATATGGAAAGTAAGAAATGAAAACCCCTATCACATATTTAATTACTCATCTGGAAATTTAAAACCCTCAAAAACAAAGTCCTCTTCTAAACCTGGTGGTGGGAAGTGTGCTCGAATACAACTAACTGCACAAGATGGCAAGGGGACCCTTATCTCTTTGCCTAATATATCCCAACACCACCGAACAAACTGCCTGTAAGCAACATGTCTTCGTTTTTTGTGCTCAGGTCCTTCATGTGCCTTTATGCCATAATGTTGTCTATAATCGCTCCAAGCAACTCGCAAGACCCAATAATTCAGACATAAATACTGAAATGCAGGGTTATCAGTAATACATTCTGGGACGGGTATCTCCTCAATTTGTGCTGCTTCTTGGTTTATAGAAACACAAGCTGGGATCTCGTGGCAGCAAATACTTTCCTCTTCCCTATCCATTATTTGGCAGTGAGTACAAAGGCACCTACATGTTCCAATTTAATCATAAGTTAATTTGGGCTAAACCAAGTTAATTTGGGCCAAAGGCCCAAAGCATAGCAGTTGAATTTATGATTTTCAGTCCTGTTTGATTCATTGAAAACTATAATAATTATAAGTACAAACATAATAATGTATAATAATGCCGCCCATAATAATGTACAAACAATTAAAGCACTAATAACCCTAGTTGGGCATGTTGCTGAAAAAGCTTAACCTACATAATTATCTACAACATAAATAATAGAAGCAAATTTAGTAAATAATTACCAGTTCGTGTCCTGAAGTCTGGTGGTTTTGTCAGAACTTGACGAAGATTCCGAAGCCATTTCTTCCGAGTCTTCATGGTCACCGCTCCAGTCTGTTTCAACCGGTTCAAACGCGTAAGGTTGAATCATGTTTACGTCTCTTTCGACGTTCATATCTTCGCTATAACTCGATCCACTGCTTCCAGAACCATCGCTCGAAGATTCGTTTGAGTAATCAATATCCATTTCTCTTGATACAGTATTTCTCTTAAATTTATAAATACTATTTCGTCTTTGTTTACATGTATATCAGAAAATTAAAGTACTAAAGCCTGTCTGCCGTGGAAAACCAACCGCGCAATGACGTCACAAGGTAAAACCGCTGAGTGATCGCAGCTTCGCTTTGATGTACAAAATGGCGGCTGCGTTATATGTAAATTTTAGCACATTTATCGCTTTATTTCTCGACTTGGTTATAACTTGGACATGTGGGACTTTGTGTGAGAGGTAAGCATTATATGATCTTTCATATCAGCCTAAGTTGTTCTGAACTCTGACTTCCCCTTTAAATGCTTGCATTATTTGTACAAGTTCATTCAACCTTGGCTTATTTTACCCCCAGTTCACATTTCTCACACCTGCCAAGGTTCCCGCAATTTCGCGTGAAAGTTACGCATTCTGCTTTTGTCCCCACTGTCCCGCACACATAACTAAAATGATCTTAAAGTTGCGCATTTTTACCATTAAATGACGCTATCCCACTTTTCGTACAATAACTCATTGACAACGCTGTGTGCGAACGTAGAATTAGAGTTAACAATCGACCAACTAAATAAAGACGTTCAGACGCATCGTGGCCTGGGGGTACATGGCCAAATACGCTTTCTGACAATCTGGAGACTCAAAATTTCCAAAATTTTCTCAATTTTCCTTGTCACATTAAACTGTAAGTAACACTGTCATATTGATCAGTAGTTATTTTACTTACTTCATTGTTAGGCAGTAGGAAAGACTCTAAAAATGCTATTTCTGACAGTCTAGAGAATTCAAATTTTCAAAATTTTTTGCTTGGCACAAACTATGACAGCGCCTCGCTGGTGTCGCAAAATCAGGTGAATTGAAACAATTCAGGCGGTAAATCTAACCTTCCCCCCCCCCCCTCCCAAAGGCCTCGCAACGGCCCTGGTCACGCATTCTTATCTTCCGAATTTGCCAGGTCTGATTTCTATACTCAGCATTGCTCGACCACCAGTTTGGCTTCTTTCCCATTTTTTCCAGTATGGAAGTTTACGACCTGTAAAGATGTACATAACATTAGACTAGACCGAGTTAGTTATATACTTCTAAATTAGATAACAATTAAATTTTATATCTTTGCCTTATTTTATGCTTAGTATAGTATGATAGATTATCCATACCATCCAGCATTACAGCTTGGGTCACCATTTTCCTTAATGTACCCACAGTGTAATCATCATAATTTATGTATGGTCCAGTGGGAAATGTATATAACATGTAAGCCTTTTTCCATTTAAGTTCAATAAATAATTCTATTCAATATTTTAATAGTCGCAGAAGTAGTACCATGAAATGTAAAGGTATATATATCCAGTAAATAATTATAAACATAATATACAAACTCATTTGCATACTGTTCTGTAAGGAATAAATAGAACTTTAAATATTTAGAGTGCATCCAGTTGCAAATTATATTTAGAACTGTTTTCAAGAAATGAAGTAAATACTATTAAAAAACTCATTAATAATTCGTGAAGAAAACACAAAGAAAAATCATAAGCGTGTCGTATCTGTATATGTGATAGAGATTCATGTTGATTTACATAAACTTTAACTTTGATTTTCTCGGCTTAGACAACGTTTATTTTTAAAATTACTTTGCCAATGAACTCATAAGATGAGTCGTTTTTTAAGTCATTTACAACATTTGCGTCCGTGTTGTATCAGATATACAAACTCTCGCCTTCGGCTCGAGTTTGTATTTCTGATACAACACGGCCGTTCATGTTGTAAATAGTACAAGCCTTATTACTGTATAATTTATATAAGCAAAGCAAAATTGCGATTTGTAAACAACACAAACACTTTTATCCTGGGTCTGGAATATATTACCATATAAAATAACGTATATATCAAAATGAAATGGCTCTAGGTTTGGAGGATATATTTAGAATTAATAAATTTAGCGTTTTACAAATCATACCTTGACAGAGAATTCCCCAACATTGTTTATTGTAACTTTGCTTTCAACAGAGTCGCTGGACTGCCTATCGCACATGCTCAACCGACACCGTTTTCTTCTGGAGGGTGACTTGGTCTCTTTTGACATCCTTTTGACATATGTTGTTTCTTGATGTAAATATCCCACATTATCTATATCCAATTGCTCAGTTGTATTATATTTGCGTTTGAACTCTTCCAAATCGGCAGCTAACACACATGCTCTTTTATCTAAAGAATCCACATGTCGAAAACATGTTTTACACACCCTAATCGACTTTCTATTGAAATCTACATTTAGTTGAAGCAACTTGGATATCTTTTCGGCCAAGCCATCATGTGTTCTTGTATTGAACGTACTACCAGCTCCATACAAGCTTATGCCACAACAAAGACAGTTTAAATCTTTCTCTTTTAGTCGTGATAATCGTTTTCCCAATTTAATGGGCGTCTGATTCTGATCGTATTCTGTGAATATCTTGCAGTTATTATCCGGAGTAACTCAGTGTGAAGTCATTGCGTGTTGTACTGTAATTTGTCGTGCTCATTGTATCGATTCGCGCCATTTTTAACTTGGGTCTCGGAGAGTGATCATAGATTGTCGGATGTGCATGCTCAATAAAGCACTGTCGCGAATTCAGCAGAGCCTCCTTTTACGAACTTGCAAAGTAAAATAGGCTCTGCCAGCAGGGGGGGGGGGGGAAGAGTATTATATAATAACTACAGTGAAACATGCAATTTGGTTGGTCAACAGCTGTGTAGGATCAGACAATCCTGCACGGGAAATTCTGAACAGAAATTCTTGCACATAATTTTACAAATATACTTGCATTGTAAAGTTTCATTGTACGACACCTTTCGACTTTGAAGTAAGTTTGCAATTATTGAGACGTTGGTTTAGTTGTATGAATAAATTTGTGATTGATACATTGCTGTTCAAGCAAGTAGCAACGCGTAGCGTTGAAATTCATCAGACCATGGCAAGTACAACATCTCTCGCTTCAAAGTTCATCAAACGCTTCGCAATCTTCACATATTCAGGTTGAGAATCTTCAAAACGACTTTGGCTCTCTGTTTAGCGGGTTTTCCATTTCAAATTTCATATATTTTATTGAAAAAGTCCCTGTATTTTCGCTGTATATTTTTGCGAGTTTGCGATCAAATGATTCAAATTCTGTTCACATATGTTGTTGTTTTCAATAGCGTGGAGTAGAGATTCTCTGATTGGTTAATTCACGAATGTTGTGAGAACTGCACATTTCAGCAGTAATTTTAATCAAGTTAAGCGTTGTTTCACTGTAGTAATTTTATAAAACAATTACCAAATGGTTTTCCCGTGCAGGATAGCATGATCCATGCACTTGGGATGTTGCTCAACTTTCGGAAAGTGTAAAAATACACTCGCCTACGGCTCGTGTATTCATGTATTTTTTCGCCTACGGCTCGTGTACGCTTTCCGAAAGTCTTGCAACTTCCCGCGTACATGGATCACGCAATCTTGCATGGAAAACCATTCGGTATTCCTTTACTCTATCACCAAGGCCAACTTGTGGAGATCAGCAGTTTAAAGGAAGTCCAAGTGTGTATCGTTCATCAATTACATGAACAAAGTCATTACAAATGACAAAGAAATGAAAGAATGCATACCTGTTCTGGTAGGACAATGTGATGACCTTTGATATTCCGCTTCTTCTTCGTACTTCATTTCCACTGTTTATCACAGAACTGAAACGTTTGAATGTTCATTTTGGCCAAGGAAATCTTGAAAGAGAAACATCCTGCGCTTTGGCTGTCTGATAATACATTTTCCAAAGCCTCGTTAGGATGCCTGCATTCAACCTTATTTGACCAGTTGTTTCCAGCATACAATGCCCTTGAAGATGTTAAAGCACTCCGAAGAATTCCCTTTCAGTCCAATTTAACATTGACCAGCGAAATTATTGTTTCAAAATCAAATGTCATGTCGTGTGAAAATGTGTTCGCTGTCGTCCAGCATATGGATTTTTCTTACAATCGATTCCAAACTTTTGTGAGCAATCTCCACAATCCCGACAAAAATAGAAGTGTTATTTTGAAGTCAATGGCCAATAAGATAGCAGAGAGTGGTATGACATTCATATATGTGGTTGCATTATTAAAACAAGGTGGATGTGATGGATCATGTAATTTTTAGATCTTATAAATTTCCATCATGTTACTCAAGTGACAATTTTTTTAAAAAGTAATGATTAAAATTATCAAACATTTGCCTTGTTTGTCTGTCTCACCATTTCGAATACATGGTTGATACTAGCTTGATATGCTTGCATGTGGTTTCCTTGGCACATGCTAACATGCATGTATTTTCTCATGAGTAATTTGCTGACATCATTATAATTTCGATATTTCTGGATAAAAGCATTGTATCTCACTATATCACCTGGTGACCTATGTTGAAAATTTGCATATGCAGTGGCATAACATATCAGGGCCCCCTAGTAGAAGTGCCAAAGGCACGAGTTGAGCACCATATATGAGATTTCAGAGATTTAGAGATTTATTCAGGAACTGCACTCTTTCACCCGATTAGCGTGTTTGACGGCGGCTGCCAGCCGGAAATTTTGTCTCCGATTGCTCGGCTGCCAGCCGGGCTGTACTATAGTATACTATTCGTTCAAAAAATGCGTGCATTTCGGAGACTGGTTCTAGAATGTTTCACCAGCAGAAAACCACCAAAATTACATTAAATTTTCCGAAAATCATCGAAATGCATCTAAATTCATCTTCCCAATGCATATAGTTAGCTATGCGACAGGTAAATAAATGGAAAAAAAAAATTTCGGCAAAAAGAAAAATTCAAATTTGTTTGCGCACACTCTGGACTTGAGCCACGACCCTCAGCATACATGCTGAGTGTTGTTCCCCTGCGCCACCACGTCTTACACGGAAAATATGTTAATTTATTGTATATATACAGGTTATTCTTAGTCAGCACGATTAAAGATTGTGTAAATACGTACACCATCGTACACGGCCAAGGGTACAGTAGCAGCCGAGCCGTATATACACTTTAACTCAATTCGATCCGCCAATATTAATTTCCGACGTATATGACGGGAAGATTAAATATTAAAGAACTTCGCGAGTATTTGCAGTAGACATACAAAAATACCACCAAAAAATTCCGCTTGATCGATACTATATATTCAGAAATATTCATATAATTTTATTGTTTCTCGCTCAATTTCAAGCGAATTTCTTACCTTGAAATGATCAATGCGGTGAAATTTATGCAAATGACACATTATCAATTTTGCTGTTGCATTTTGAATGTTCCGCCTGATTCAAATGCTCGTCTTTTTGCTTCTTTTCAACGTATAATAATAACAAATATACCAAAAGAATCGCCATCTTCCATTCTATAGCTCGGAGCAGTCTCGGAAATTGCAAAATAATCTAAGCCTATTATGGCAATTCTCGTGATCGGAAAGTGTTCGGCCAACTTCGGACGCCAAATTCTTGGTAAAGCATTACAGTTTCCTGGTAAAAGACTGCAGGAATCACTTCCGGAGTGTTTGTTTACCCTAGATACGAATTTTGATTGGCTTAGGCAGAAAAGCAAATCTTTTAGAGCAATTTTCCTGATTATCGCGCACGAGAACACACAAGCGTTGAAATGTATTCTGTTGTAGTTTTGTTTGAATCGCATTCTGAAGACGTTTTTGGCTTTATTTTGCAAACTGATAGTGCTAGTAATGATGGAATGTCTTCGTATGAAGACAAGTATCTCAACCTGGCATTGGGAGTCGTGTCTGGAGTTTCAAGGCAAGTATTTGTATCATTTCTAGACAATTTCTATTTCAATATTTTGCCGTTGCCATGGGGTTGTAAATTTATTTGTATTTAGTATAGCTTCTCTAGTACGACCAAGTATGTCCTCATATCGCTTTTTTGTGTTGAAATAATCGTTTCATACTGAAATTGATAAATATAAATGGTATTTATTTATATTGTTGACGAAAATTTATGGTGTTTTAGGCATAAAAATCTCTGATTCCTAGGCGAAGTAAAATGAGCCTTGAGCACATGTTTGGTTGTTTGTTACATACATAATAGCCAAGTATTCATACTTATATCTTACTAGTTTGGCTCTTATTATAATTTTAAGTGGCACCATGTCTATAAAAGTTTTTATTTGCACTGATGAATATATTGATCCTGTTCCTATCTGCTGTTCCTGTTTCATAGCCTCAGGGAAGTAGAGTTCTGATGAGTCATGAGAACCCCACTCACCAACCCAGAGGGAAGGTAGGGGGATGAGTAGAGGTAGAGGGAAGCCCAGCCATTAGGACCTAAGGTTTCGAAAGCTCCCTGTCTAGCATCCCCACTAGGCCCCATAGTACATGACGGATATGATGATCCTGACGCCAGGAATGTTCTCTCAGATTTTGCTCCTCACTGACATGTCCGGGATCCATTTCGATCAACTGTGAGCTTGAGTTCATTCGGCTCAATGAACTGTGAGCTTGAGTTCATTCGACGCTTTTTTACTAAGGGAATGCTTCAGGAGGTAGTTTCCTGGCCATACCAATACATATGCCCACATACAAATAACTCAAAAGTTATCCCCATATACTAATAAAAAAGGGTCTTGCAGTCCACCAACCTTGAGAGGTTGATTGCCTTTTAGTATAATATGCAGGTTTGCTAAAGGTCGACAGTGAGATTGAAAATTATTGGAGTGTAAAAACCTTATATCATGGTCTGTGGGCAATAGACATAATTTCTCGGGTTAGGTACAAAGCGCTTATGGCGTTTGTGAATATGGTAGATCCTGTACTAAAGACTACAGCAATAAACTGCATCAACAACTGTACCAGCCGTCACAGAATATTGTTGTTGCAGACAAACACACAAGAAATAGGTTGGGGGTTAGTTCATGAAAGCTAGATGACCTACTATGTGGGGAATAAATCTGTGGGTTGCTGCAGACAATCCTAATGGTTATATTGCGACTTACAGGAAGAAGTCCAGATATTCATCGCAATTGCTAGCTTGAAATGTACACCGCCTTTTCCAGCAACGAAGCCGAACTAATGCGGTAATTTTAAACAAAAGCTTTCATTTTATTGACGCTTCTTACAAGCTATTAATTCTGCTTCAAATTCCAAAAATTTCACGTATTTTGAAATTTACCTTAAATATATTTTAGCGCCGTGGCTAGAGTATTTCTTTCCCCAAAATTATTTTACTATATTTCAAAAGAGTAAAATTCGATTATTGTGGTGTTTTCGTTTCTTGGAACAGCATACTTCTCGAGAAATTCGCAAAAAAAAATTGCGCTAGATTTTGCTGTTTTGTAATTTGACCGCAATAGCTCCTAGTGAAGGTGGATATATTTTATTTTGCGTAAAACAAATTCCAGATAAACTGCTATCATTTCAAAGTATTAGGACAGATGTACAAAACGAACGAATTTTTGTTACAATTGATTTTAATGTCAGTAAGTAGTAGACTGTTGTAGTTGGCCTTCGAGAGGGTAAAAAATTGGCTCAAAACACGAGCCCATGGCTGGCGTGGTCAATGGCAGTTACCATGGCAACAAAGCGTTTGCAAAATCTAAAATTGACAGATATGTTAATACCTCAGGGTAACCTCCGTGCACAATAAAAATGAGGGGGAGTTAAAAATTTTCATTTCCAGTTTTGCTCACTTTTCTCATGCACTTGCTCTTAAGGATCCTAACAAGATCCTGCTTAGGATTTCCACCAGGGTTGACATTACAGCATTTTTTATATTTCGCATATCGATAATTTATGTTATAGGCAAAAACATGCAAGAAAAAAATTGGGGGTCACCATACTTTTTCATGTACTAAACGAAAAATAGGTTATTCTACAGTGAATTCTGTGTGTGTTGTCATAGCAACAGAGTATATGACTCCGAAACTAACAGAATTTGGAAGAAAATACATTAAAATGTATAAAAGCTTCCATACCTGCTTCAGAAAACAACAAAACACAAAAATCGAGACCTTCAAACTGCACGAGACATGATTTTCGAAACATTCTATCGAGCCTCCTTAACTAAAGTCAATATATAGCCAGCAGTTACTATGTAGCCAGCTGTATAGCCACTTCGAAATATAAATGTTTACTCAATAATTGTGAATGAAATTTTTTTATAGCAACCATGTAGTTCCTTTGCGCAGATACATGTACGCCAAGCATACCAATTTTTTGCAACATAGCTTGCTTTTGTCGTTGTTATCTTCATCTCTTCCCCATGGTTCATAAACACTTTCAATTTCTTCCATTTCCATCACCTCACTGTCAACCCATTCATCAAAAACGTCTTCTACATCCATGCCTTTTTAGCATTTAAAAATAGTTTGCAATTTAAAATTTGAGCTTGTCAAATGAGCTAGTCATGTGATGTCACAATTAGCAACAAGATTTAGATTGTGATGTCACAAAGTTTCCCATGCAGCCACCTCACAATCCATGGTCTCACTGACAAACCTAAGCAGATTTTATAATTGTGAATCGTTCAAATGAAAAAAAGGGGCAAATGAATAGCCAATGATGTTGCGTATCACTTACCAATGTGCGAGTGTAAGGGATAAACTCATACAAATGTGACTATTCCTAGCTTACTTGAAGTGTAGCATCTTCAAATGGAGTCAGGATTCTTACTAAGCCATCCAGAATACTCCAGAAACCCAAAGAGGCAGATAATAGTGGAAGGCCTAGTTCACAAGTTCAGCAGAGTAGTATTGTAAGTGCACCTTTGTTTTTTACAAATGATCTGCAACAACAAAATATGGATTGATATTTATCTTATTTACTTATAACAATTGCGATGGTTTTGTGCATTGTATAATTTGTCTTTTAAATCATTGTGTTCAGTCGAGCTGTACCTTGTACCAACCTTGTTTCACATGTTTTGACAGAACTGTTTAATGACTTTCATGCATTAGTTTCTGGGTTCTCCTACAATCACATTGGACTCGGTTGTTTTCAAGACCAGCAAACAAGCAACATCACAGCGAAATCTGTTTACATACATTTATTTAATATACTGAATGGCAGATTCTGTAAAATCATCAAGTCTTTCTTGCAAAGGAGATGATTTTTTCTGGAAAGGAAGAATTGATGAATTAAAGGATTTTGTACAAAGCAAATTGAAAATTGATGGAAAATGGTCATCACCTGAAGGCAATGTCAAGCTGTTTGTTTGCGAGAACTACAGCTTAAAATGGTATAGAAGAAGTAAGGAAAAGTTGCTTGTTATTAGCGATGACGATGAACAAAATCTCAATCATGTGTGGCTATCAAATCGATTGATCTGGAGAACCTTAGTTGTGAGGATAGTTAGCTAAGTGAAGTTTACCTCTTATTTATATATAAATTATGTGTATATTGCTGTTAATGAAGGGTAATACTAGTAATGAAAGTTTTGCTAATTGCCTGACCTTTCACCAGCTCGAGTTTGACTTATTGATATATGAGGCCTGTTTCTTTAATATGCAATTCATTCCATGTCAATTCATTACAGGTTTTAACCCGACACTTCAGATGTGGCTAATTTTTGCTGTGTACCAAATTTTTGCTGTGTACCAAATTTGACATCAATATCTCAAATGAGTATTGATGTATGGCTCATAACAATTTACTTGATTTTACGATGTAGGCCACCTCAAATTGCATTTCCGTCCGGTGCAACACACATTATTAAAAAGCTTATAAAATATTTTCCATTGTTTCTATTGCTCTGAAATTCGGTAAGCTAAACCTATTTGTGATGGCAAATATGAAAATCATATCGTAACAAACAGCTACTGTTCTTCTGGTTTATTGTCTTTAGAAATGTTTATCTAGGGTAGTCATTAGCACACATGGTTCATCATCTAATATATGTTTAGCGGGGTGGACATACGATTTCCTTTGACTTGTTGACAACTGATATGAATGTGTTCCTAGGTGGCAGCTTTGTAGGGCCTGTTATAATAATGTGCAAAAGAATAAGACCAACAAGAATTCGGAATCTGAGAGTGAATCGCAAATGAACAAACTGGATTCGAATACAACAGTTTTTTCAAGAAGTGAAATTGATTCCAATGAAGTGAAAAATGTCACAAGATAGCTTGAACAGAAGCTTTTGGTTGGAGGTTCGCACATCAAAGCATTGTAAGTTATCTTACATTAATGAGAAGTGAGATACAACTGTGGGTTGTCTGAATTGAACATTTGTGGATGGGAGTAGTTTGGCATCAGGGAAATCTTTAGTTGAAATAACGACAAAGGCTTCTGACCTGGACAGACTAACTGAGCAAATGCGAGAAAAAGTGACAACAGAAAATACAACATCTGATGAGAAAGTTCAAATCCTGACTCTTGCACCCAATTCATGGACAACAAAGAAAGCAGCATTGTATTTTGGAGTGTCAGAATATCAAGCGAGACAAGTGTGTGATTTAATGAAATCTCTTGGTATACTTACACGCCTGATAAAATCGGGGTAAACCTGTCCCTGAAAACACAGCAGAGAACGTCAAGCTAGTTTTTGAAGATTATGCACACTCACATTCGATGCTGGGTAAAAATGACTTTGTGAGTATTTATGCACTTTTTAAAGAAAACCCAGACGTTATTGTTTTTTCAAAGTTTTGCTCTTTGTGTCTGTTTTGCTCTTTGGTACACACTCCGTCTGCGTATGCACTCTTCAGCAAAACACCATTCTTTTAGTAGATGCTATAAAGACAGGTCATACATACAAAAACGTGAGAAAAAATGATGGTATGTGACTCTGAAAGTAAAACCTGCATTGATCCACAGGTGTGATAATTTTACATTGCATTTGTGTATTGCTAAAATTCAAGCTAAATGCCTGAAGCAAAGAAAGGAAGAACTTGAAGATGATTGTGTTTTAGTTCTTGGAGTTTTTAAAACTATAGCTTCATAGTACAAGTTGAGATTCAGTGATTTCACTGGAGCAAGTCACACTGTACATTGCATCCAGTGGTCATTTATTATAAAGATAATGGTAAACTTGCTAAGCATTGTGTTACATTTCAGAGTATCTAGACCATGAGACTGAATTTGTTGATGAAGTCCAACGTCAATTAGTTAAGCTAATTAATAAAGTATTATCCTGATGGATGTGCAGCCCATTATAAAAACTTCAAAAATATGTTCAATTTGTGTTGACACAAGGCTGATTTTGGTATTGAAGTGAGATGGAGTTTTTTGCACCAAGTCATGGTAAATTAACATGTGATGGCATTGGCGGAACAATGAGAGTAACAGCACAAGCTACAATCCTGGCAAAAATTGTTGTGGACACTGTGTGCATCAAACAAAAATAGAAGTATTTCTACAGAATTAATCCCCAGAAAATTTCTCCCCCCTCCTATACCCCCAATTCAATATTGGTAAATGAAACTTTAAAATTTAAATAGGGGGCAGGGGGCGACAAGTTTCATAAAAGAACGTCTCAATGTTAATATTAGCGTTAGAAAAGTTAGGTGTCCACATAATTTTTGCCAGGATTGTAGCTTGTAAGGGCTTTACAAAGGCTTATTTTGGATGTTTCATTAACTCATTAAGCAGCAATGCACCCGAATGCGCCCTGAGATTGGCAAGGGGGGAGCGGGAATGTGCCCGAAACGACACGCCATTTTCATTGGCCGATTGCTAAAAACATGCATTTCGCGGGCACCTATAAAAACACCCGAATCCGCTCTTTCAAATAAGACCTCGTGCAAGCTTGTACAGTTAATATTGTCCAAGTTACGAGAGTTTTAAAACACCTTTTTGCGAATTTTTTTTTAAATATGGCTGAAGAACTTAGTATGTTCGACAGTAGTGAGGATGAAAGTGATTTTGAGGGGTTTTTAATCGACGAAACGGTTGAAGAAACATGGCCTATTGCAGCGGGAACATCTGCGGTTTCGTGGAGAGACATAGCGGGCGATTCGGACGACGATGAAGAGGACTTCCACGGTTTTTCTGACATCGAAGTTCAAGAACTCGACAGCGATAGTGTGAGCGAAAGTGGAAGCGAGATAAGTAACGATAGTTTTGATGGTATTTTTGAATGGAAAGATAATTTAAGTAGTGTTAGTGTTGAAGACTTTACTGCCGACTTTGGTCCTCGACATAGCTTGGGTTTAGATGCTTCCCCTAAGGACTTTTTACGACTTGTTTTTCGGCGATGCGTTTTTCAATCTCATTGTGCATGCTACAATTTTGTACGCCCATTCAAAATGCAACGATCCCAATTTTACAACCGACCGCGACGAAATGTCTGCATTTTTTGGCTTGAATAAACAAACTTCCAAAAATCCGGTCATACTGGGATTCAAATTTATTTTTAGGAAATGCCGGCTTTAAAACAATGCCTTCAAAACGTTTCCAGATTTTGAACAAGTATTTTCATATTTCGGACCCGCGGCAAGAAACCCAACTTACAAAAATTCGGCCCTTTATTTCAAAGCTCGAAAATGCTTTTCAAGATGTTTATGTGCCTGGAAAAAATATTTCGATTGATGAGGGTTTGATTAAATTTAATGGTCGTTTATCTTTCAAGCAATATATGCCTAAAAAAAACGAATAAATTTGGTATCAAAATTTGGATGTTAGCCGATTCTGAAACTTACTTCGTGCCGCGCTTTCAAGTTTACTTAGGTAAACAACAAAATGCCGATGAAAATGATGCGGAAGAGGCGCAAGGTGTCGGTTTTAAAGTTGTCGATTTCCTGGGAAAACCCTACTATAATACTTACCGTCATTTCTATTTCGATAACTATTTTTCCTCGGTTCCTTTACTCGAACATTTGCTTGAAAATAAAACTTACGCATGCTCGACCTTGTGCCACAACAGGAAATATTTTCCTGCTGATTTGAAAAAAATAAAACTTAAGCGTGGAGAAATGCGAACTCGACAAAATGAAAATTTAGTTTGTTTGACATGGCAAGATAAACGTTTAGTCACGATTTTATCGACCAATGTCGATCCACAGCCCAAAGTTTTCGGCCCTTTAGATGAACGCACTGGAAAAAGGAAAGCTGTTCCCGAGGAAGTGCGAGAAAAACCCGCCGTCATATCATTGTATAATAAGTATATGAACGGTGTGGACGTAAACGACCAGTGTAGGAGCTACTACCCTGTAGGAGCTCAATCTAAAAAGTGGTGGAAATATTTGGCTTGGTTTTTTGTGAATATTTCAATTGTAAACGGTTTCATATTACAAAACTTGCAGACTGATCGACGCCGTCGCCTAAAACATTTAGATTTCCGTCTTGCTTTGGCAAGGCAACTTATTTCGACCTATAACGGCTACCAAAAGATTTCTAGTGCTCCGAGTGGCCGTAAAAAAGATGTTCCAGTGGGTAGAAATGTTGAGGGCCATAGTTTAGTGAAGTCTTCAGAGCGAAAACGAGCGTGTGGGATGTGTTCGAAAGCGGGAAGGAAGCGTGCGTCGGGAAGAACGTTTGAAAGCATATATAAGTGTGCTCAGTGTAATGTAAATCTTTGTAGAGAGCGAGCTTGTTTTATGGAATGGCATCAATAAAGTTTGTCTTACTATTAGACAAAACCATTCAATGTTTGCATGTTTTATATTATGCTGTATGTAGTGTTTTTTAATAAAAACTGGCTCTTTGCCAGGCAGTTTGCCGAACAAGGAAGCCATGTCAATGCAGACAACAGCTCTGCCATCATCTATCACAGTAAATTTCAGATTTTACCCCCAAACTCTGCTCGTTTCATTTAAGTTTAGCAAGTATATAAATCACAGGTAAATTTCAGTAAAATTAAGACAAAAACCAACCCGTCAAGGCATGAATTTATAGGTGTATTTTGTTTTCAAATATTGTTATGGAAACACAAATTATACTTTATACATTGCATATTTTTTTGCATGAAGGCAACTAAAAATATGCATGAAAAAATCTCATATTTTTAGTAATACAACCCCATTCGTTATAAGAATTTAAATCCTGGCTTTTCAACTATTTCGTAAAACAAAAATCATAAAGGACATAATAGAAATATTAAAGTTTATAGTATTTCAAGCTTTTAAATATTCAATGTCTTAATTACAAAGGAAACATTTTTCAGAAATTAGCTATGTATGAAGTTCTCACTCATTTATCTTGTCTGTTATGGATCTTGTTGTGCTCATTTATACAAAAAATGAAAGCTTATTCATTACTCAATTGTCTTGCCAAATTTCATGTTTTACCATTACATTGCACTTGAGCTAGAACCATTCTTGTAAACATAGTTTACAGGAACTAAAATTCGCCATTTTGGTTGGCCCTAAGTGGGGTAGAAACATTGCAAACTGTCTGCAGCTTAATGAGTTAATGCTATCGATTTTGTAAGGCAAGCATCCCTGGTATAACATTTCTTCATATTTTGAAAGAAAGAATGGAAGAAGTTATGGTGCAGAACAGGTGGGAAATTTGTCGTCGCTGACCAAAAAATTGCGGGCAGAAACAAAGTTCATTGCATTAATACATTCAAAACAAAGCAGAAAGTTAGCAAGAAGCTGTTTTAGCTGACGATTTTTTGCTTTCCATTCAACGATTTACAAATTATAGGTTATTCTTTTAAAAGTCGATCATGAATTCTTTGTTTTGGGATGATTGTTTTGTAATCGAGTGATTGGAAGAAGTTCATATGGCGACGTGAACATGGGAGTAAATACCGTATACGTCTATCTATGGCTTGTTTAAAACCGTAATAAACGAAGAAAGACGTGATTTGAGAATGAAATGTAAGTTGAAATTAACTTTATATGCCTCAAATTTTCCATCCTATGTTTGTTAATGTAACTTCAGCTGTCTAAGTTCAAAATACAAGCTCGCGAAATTTGACAAATTTTGAAAATATGTAAAAATAGCTTGACTTTGAACTGTATTTTCTCAAAAATAGCCCGTGGCCTCAATTTCAAATATAGCTAAATGAAAAGAAAAAAGTTTTCGGCGTTTGTAGGTATCAAACATATCGTCAGGAAAATAGGGGCTCACAATGTTTTAGTTCAGTCTTTGAGACCCAGTTGTTTCGCACGTGTTGTGGTCAAATTTTTGCCAAGAATCAAAGGCCGAAATGTGAACTTTCTTCATGAAAATCGCTTCGAGAAGGGTCTAGTTTGAAAATTTAGCTATTAATTTCGATTTCATGAGCATATTTTGGTTACACGTTAAGTATTTTTGTGCTTGATGCGATTCAAAATTTGTTGTATATTCAAGCCCGGCTTTTGTGTAATTTTGGTGATGACCGGAACAGAAATAAAGATATTTTAAAAACTGGCCGTGGCCTCACGATAAAACTTTCTACAAATGTTCTCTGTTTCATGTACTTTTATTTGATATCTTAGGTATAAGCGTAAAAATAGGAGCTCATACAGCTTACGAGGTTGTAAAATGCATGACTTGTCTCTATTTTCATGTAAACATTCGAAATTTTTCGACAGCAAAGTAGCAACTGTTTC